CCTGCTTCTTCAGGGAGTGAAGCCTCACCCAGAAAACACTGACAGCCTCCATCCTGTCACCCACTGGCCTGGTTTATTAGCCCTCATCCTGTCCAGGGCTGAAGCAGGCCATTGATCTAACATATTCAGAACTCCACCTGATGAGGATGCAAAGAAGACTCGGAGTTGCATGTCTTCAGCATACCACTTTGACGCTCTGGATGGCCCCAGCCAGCAGTTCCGTGTTAAATAGTACCTGTGGAGCCCCATGCTGGAGAATCCACGAGGCCAAACCGTAATCTCCAGGCACCACCATTTCCAGCCAGTCATCCTAACAGAAGCAGAGCCATTGCAACAGACAGCCTTGCCTTGACAACATTTCCGTACCTGGGCAGAAGAAACTTTCCAGGACTAGGCAAGGCTCTTCATTCCAGAAACCCAGAACTGTACAAGTTGTTGTTGTTAGTCGCGAAGTCGTGTCCGACCCATCGCAACCCCATGGACAACATTCCTCCAGGCCTTCCTGTCCTCCACCATCCCCCGGAGTCCACTCAAGCTCACACCAACTGCTTCAGTGACACCATCCAGCCACCTCATCCTCTGCTTCCCCTTCTTCTTTTGCCCTCTATTGTTCCCATCTCCAGGTCTGCTTAGACATGTAAATTCAAGCTACTGAGAAACTATGCATGAGCTCAAGACTCTTATCTGGACTCTAGACATTCTGAATTGGCCAGGGCACATGGAGCCTCTGGGCTAGGAAGATACTGCCTTGAATTCCAAGCATGACTGTTTAATCATTGTGAAGGTATACAGTGTAAATTCGGACTAAATGGCCTGTGTACTGTAGCTTACAGCTAAAGGTGAGAGAAAGGAGTGGGGGATGAATGCCATTTTAAACAGTGACAGCTTGGTTTTGAGAAGGAAGACAGGATTTGATCCCACAATGCAAAAAGCACACAGAAGTAATGCTTTTCAGACAGGGGATTTTCCAAGCAGCTCCCTCACCATGTTTCTGCAGTCAGGATGGGATCTGGCACCCGGGCTCAAGCAACACAACAACCAACAAGCCCTACTACAAGCCATGACTTGTGCTGGGAAAATTTGGATAACTCCTGTCTGAAAAGGCTTCTGAACCTGGTGAGATCCACGTTTCTTTCCTACCCTGCTCATCCTTTGATCGCGGCAGCATCGAAGAAGTATCTTGGCTGCATGCGTTGCCTGCCCTCTGCCCTAAACCAGTTAAGGCTAACCACGGTTTGTCTGGGTTCAAATAATGAAAGGCTACAGCTAGTTGAAAATAAGAGGGCACTTTTCTGAGCTCCTCCTCACAATCATGATGGCAGCCTTCCCTGTGTAAGCAGAAAGAAAGGCACTTAAAAGCCAGGACTGCAGTAGACCTGGGCTTTCCGTGGGATTCCTGTGTGGGCTGGGAGGGAGCAACCCCCTCTCATCCTAAGCAAACTCTGGTCACCTGAGCAGCGCAGCAGTGAGTGGCAGGAAAGGAAGGTTTAATCCTTCCCTCCTCCTACAGTTAAGACCCTGCCTCTTCACTAACGAACTTGGGGGAAAGCTTTATAGCACTGGTGGGGGAAGAGCCTCATCTGGGAAGGAAAAGGTGCATGTGGCAGTTGGGAGTGAGTGAGTGAGTGAGTTTTGTGGAGAATGGAATGGAGATTCACCTGTGCTACTTCAGAAAGTTAGCAGGAGGGAATGAAGCCTTCAGGAGTTAACAACAACAAAAGTTACTGGCTCACGCCTCCTGGCAGAGCAGAGCTTCTGATTCTGACCTGTTCCCCAAACTTAAGTTCCACACATTAAGACTAAACACAGTTAAACTATAGTTAGCCAAAAGCGCTATCTTTCTGATCTCCTCCTCACAGAAGCCTTGAGGAGGGGGAAGGGAGGCATAGTGAGCTCCAGGTTCATACATGTAACACAAAGCCATGGTTTAGCATTATGACCAAACCCAGCCTATGTATACCCACTCACCTGTGTGTGCGTGCACACAAGTGAGAGAGAAGAAAGCCAGAAATACATAAAGACAAGGAAGCACGTTTTAGATCTTGGTGATAGTTCCCTTAAAGATCATCAAATCACCTAAGTTCTCAAGCACAGTTCCCAAAGACACAGCCACCCAGTAGGTTATAGCCTGGGGGGTAGGGATTAAGGTAATTAGGTTTCACTAATGACTGATTTTAGCACAAAGCAAAGCCCCCCTCCCCCAACAATAGTTCTTTTTGCATCTCCTTGCCATGCAATCACCACCTCTTTCCAAGTGTACTATTAAAGGTAATTATCTACACTCAAGGAGCTGAACTCTGTCTGCCCTGTAATTTGGAGGGGGGGAAGCCCTGCCACTCGTTAATGCAACTCAACACTATGTGGTTGTTACAAAACCTGAAGGAATTCATGATCCTAAAGAAATAAGCAAAGGAGGACAGACAGAAGGCAGCAATGAACAAGACAAATTGTTTCAAGAGAATCTGATCTGAATCACCCTGGAATATATCATTCCAACTAATTCAGCTGCACAACTTCTGATCCTTCGAAAGTAGGGGCACATACAGTTCCTCTGTCATGAGGAACTATGGGTAATTTAAACCCAACAGTGGTTTCTGGAGAGGGGAGGCATGAGTTGCTGCAACTCATTATCACTGTGAAACACCATGGTTTTCTGTAACATCTCACATAGGTCTATAGGTGAAAGAAATTAGGAGGGTGGGTACCCGGAGGAGGGCTTTCTCTGCAGTGGCGCCTAAGTTATGGAACACGCTCCCCAGAGAGGTCCGCCTGGCGCCGTCATTATTTGTTTTTTGGCGCCAGGCGAAGACCTTTTTATTTAAGCGGCATTTTAACTGTATTACTAGAGTTTATCTGGCCAGGGCGGCTTATTTTATATTGTATTTTTGTATTTTTAATATAATGTTTATATTATAATTTATATTATAATTACTTTTAATTTATTGTTGTAAGCCGCCCCGAGGCTTTGGCGAATGGGGCAGCATAAAAATGTTTTAATAAATAAATAAAATAAATAATAAATAAAATGCTTTTTTCCCCTCACACTTTGCACTGTTAGGTCGCAAACTAACCTAGGTCACTACTGGTCACCCTGACTTTCAGGAGCTCTTAGTGCCTCCCAGAGCTGCTACTTAAGATACCATGCCTGCACATATAATGGAATGTAAGCTGGAAGATAGGATATGCAAAGTATCTGTTTTACTGCTGAGTTAAGGTCAATCAACAAAGGTACAGTTCTCAGCTTATATAGATATATAAACTTCTAGAGACTTGCACATGTGCACCTGATAATATACAAGAGCAGAGCCTCCAAATGGGCATGTGGTACTTATTCCTATTCCAAAATTAGGATTCCAGTGTTGTTCAGCTTGGAGACCATTTACCCCTCCAGCAAACATATACTGTCTTCTATATGAAGGTAAGCTAGCTTGAGCTCATCCTCACTCTCACTCTCTCATGTGTGTGTGTGTGTTATGGGGGGATGGATGGATGTACGGGCGTACAGAAAGATACTACAATTTAAGTAATTTTGAAGTCTAGGTATTAGGTCTGCAAACACATTACTGGGTTTGCCTGCAAACATTTCTATTTCACCCAAGACCTTTAATAAAGCTTCTTTTATTACTCTTGGGGCATAGGAGAGGATGCCAAACATTTTAATTTTGAAAGCATTGCTATTTTTGGCAGTCCCAAAATAGTCTGGTTAGAAAACTGCAATATATCACAAAAAACGGTGGCGGGGGTAGAGGGGACAGGATTCTGATTTCTCAATTCTACCCCAGGTTAAAATTTGGCAACCAGAACATGTGTGTTACTTTCATAAACCTGAACCAAATTCAAAAATTGACCATAAGAAAACATTATGTCTACATAACGTTGGATGATCCAGCCCTACTACGGTTTCTTCCAGGACCAGCTCAGGACAAAATGCTTCCTCTCCCCCCACAATCCCACACACAGAAGCTGGCCATTTCTGCAATTAAAGCTCATTTCAGTGCTGGTGACAGGATACCTGAGGGAAGCCAGACAGCTCCAGGGGTGCACGAAAGACTGCATGCTGCACAGCTTTGCAGGCCCAGCACCTGCTGCCTGGCAGGGAGAGCCCGTTCTTTTACTGAACTGGTGTGAACACTTCCAGAGCAGCGGCAATTCATTCTGGACATCAGGCAGAAGTACAAAATTGGCCAGTCTTCACCTATGTTCTAGTCATTGCTTGGCTAAGCCAGCTCCTCTTTGCTTGTCCTTTACCTCTGTGGGAAGCACTCTTTCCTTTCCCTTTCACATCACCTCTAAGCCTCCACAATGGTTCTCTTTCTGCATCAGCTTCAGGTTGCTAGTCCTTTTGGTGAAGACAGAATGCTTGGAACATTTTCTCCCTTTCCCCTTACCAAGTGGTCTTGCTTCCTTTAAACCCAGCTCCTTTCCCTCCTGGGGCTTCCTTCTCCAATGACCGCTTTCACCCCACATAGCGCACTTTTCTATACTCATGCAGCCTATACATACACTCATCAAGTCATGCTGGATCAGATGAAGGCCCGTCTTCTCCAACATTCTGTCCACATGGTGGCCAACTAGCTGCCACAGGGTAAAACCCAACAGGCACCCTCCCACCCATGGTATACACAGGCACAGTGCTTCTGATGCTGGAAGTAGTGTATTGCCATCAGAACTAGGAGCTATGTGAGAGTGCCTATGCCATTCTCTAAAATAGGCCCACTGGCCAAAAGAGACTGAAGACCACTGCAAAAACCCTGAGAAGGCTCCTTGTTTCTCCTACATGGTGCACACAACCTAACATGGCCCATATTCATGGTACTGGTGTGAAGTTTAGCAGTGAAGTGCCGAAGCGAGGCCGTAAAAACCATTTCTGCCCAGCCTCTCACCCAACCGTGGAAGAACCCTACAGAGAAGGCAGGAATCCAACTGAGCACGATCTGCGGTGTATGCTTCCCCTCGCCAGGAGCCCGACGTCACACAGTTGCCGCTCTCCCAGTCCATACCTGGCTGTTAACATCGGCTGTGTGCTGGAGCAGGACGGAGGCTAGCTCCTTGTGTCCCCTGTCACATGCCCAGTGCAGCAGAGCTCTGCCCTAAAACAGCAAAGAAAGAGCCACGTTAGACGAAATGGCAGGAGTAAGTTAGGCATCACGAACTTCAAGGCATTTCATTGGGTGCGTTCGTATGAACAGAGCTTGCACTGTAGTGTCATGAGTCTTTCTCCAAGTCAGGCCAAACGCCCATCTGGGAATCGGGGGAAACACCAGCTCTGGCTGGGGCTCTCCTTGCCCTGAAGGAACAGGCTTTCCATTTTGGGCCGGGGGGGGGGGGGGGCTGGATCTGTTCTTGTCCCTGGAAGTGGAAGCAGCAGCACGGATAGAGGTGCCTACAACAAGCTGAGATTGGTACCCCGGCCGCACCTGTTCCAAGATAGGGACAGCCTGGCTACTTTGATGCATATATGGCGAAAATGAATGGGATGCCTCTTCCAAGCATAATCTATTTGGACACGACGCTCAGCCTCTGAGGCCTTCTTGCAAGTGTCAACTCCGAGGGGGGCTTAGAGGGTGGAACCAGTGGGAGGGCTTCTCTGCTGCATGACAGGATGATACCACATGCCAGCTTGAGAGGATTTGTAATCGTTAGAAAAAGCTCTGCCCATGCCTTGCAGCAAGCTCAGCCTTCATGGCTGGGTTCAGACAACACTCTCTGACAGGTGCCAAAGGTTCTCAGCATGGAGATGAACTTACCTGCAAAAATGACTTATTTTGCATGGTAATCTTTTTATGATGTTTGTTTTGCTGTTTGTATTTTGTGTGCTGTAAACAGCCTAGAGAATTTAAACAAATAAATAAATTCTTGCCCGGAGGGGGGCACTGGACAGATGGGCACCTGCTCCACTGTGCCAGCAGCCCCCACCCCCTTCCAGGCTTTCCGCTGCTGCTCCCATGTAACTGTGCTCATTCACCATGGCAAGAGGGCAGCAGGACATTTTAAAAAAATGCAATTAACTACACAAGTTAAAGGAGGCAAAAATAAACAAAAACAATTTTAAGAAATTACTTGGCGAGCACAAGCAATCTGCAGGGTACTGCTGGGACTCCTTGGAAGGACTGTTCATAGCTGCCAAATGGGGAACTGTAAAAGCTGGCTTGTCAGCTAGCTTCCAAAGTCTGAGTCTTCCATATTCCTTTAAGTAACAAGAAAGCCATAGGGTGTCTGAAATCGTTCAGGGTAGTGCAGCAGGGAGGGTAGAAATACTTTTGGTGGTCGTATGGTGCTACCCACAGGGTGCCCATCGTCTGTCCAACACACTGGGACATGGTGGCTAATAGGCTGCCCATATAGCAAGGCTGATCATGTTGCAGGAACCCACCACCAGAGTGAATACATCAAATACGTAATCACAGTTGTAAATTGCCACTCATCTATGGGCTCGTGGAAGCTACAGAGGTACCTCGGCTCAGGAATACCTCAGTTGACGACCAAATCGGGTCGTGAACAAAAATGTCACAAAAATTTTAACTCAGGTTGTGAACTCCACATTGGGTGGTGACCATGATGGCGGCCGTCTCCCCACCCCACCCCCCGAGTGGGTAGATGGCTGTGATTGTGCTGGGGGCAGGGGGGAGATGGCCGAGATCACTCCCGTCTTTCCTGCAGGAGTGTGCCCGTGATTGTGCCCGTCTTTCCTGCAGGAGCACAGCCATGATCTTGGTCATCTCCCCCCAGCACGCCCGCGTTCGTTCCTCTCCCCCCACCACCAGCACATCGGGATGAGGGGTGCGATCGTGGCTGTGCTGGTGCAGGCAGGGAGATGGCTGCTCTGGGGGCAGGGAGGGGGAGACGGCCGCGATCTTTGTTGTTCTTTGTCACTTTGCTTCACATTTTTCTGATTAAAAAAAAGTAGCTACCGAACAGATTAACCTTATTTACATTGAACCTTATGGGGAAATTTAATTTGGCTCACGACCAATTTGGGTCACGACCAGACTCCTGGAAAGGATTAAGTTCATGAGCCAAGGTACCACCGTACTCAGAATGAGGTTTTTTTGTCTGGACCTCCCCAGTCATTTTCCCCTCAGGGAAACACATTCCTAGCAGTACATTGATTATGTTCATGTGTGTGTGTGTGAGGGGGGAGGGGGGAATAGAGAGAATAGAGAAGTTTAGGAGAGACAGAACAAGGGTGTGTGAAACAGAATAGTGTATATACGAGGGGGGGGGGAGAGACAGACAAAATGGAGCAATGTACAACCTGGCCCCACCCACAACTTGCCCTGACCCCACCACTGCTGCTATGTGGTCCCCATCCACTTTGGCATCCCAGACTCTGGGAAGAAAAAAAGATTCCCCACCCTGCTATTTACATTCACGTGGAAGTAAGTTCCACTTAATGCAGTGGGATTGACTTTTGCATGCAGATGTGGTAACCAGATAAAACTTTCTGGGGATCCAGCTGTTGTATTCAGAGAGCAATTTTTAGCACAAGGTGATCTGAAGTTTCTGCATCCTTTTTCAAGAAAGATCACGCAAAAATAGTTTAAGCTGTAAGTATGTGCGAGGAGAGAAAAAATTTTTCTACCATCTACTGCTTTTCTCTCATTCATATTTTTTTTCCTTTCACACAATCTTAATTTCCCTCATCATGGGAAGACTAATTGAGGAAAAATACACCTAAAAAGGTCCACAGTAATTTATTCTTGTGGTGCCTTTGTTTGGTGCTTGTCATCTCCTTCTCCTAGTACAAAATTCTACGTCAGCAAGGAGGTGCTGAAAAAGAAGCAAGTCATGCCATGAGGCCCAAGGGGGGAAAAAAGCAATGAAGCACTGAACAGGCAGCTGGACTGTCAACCAACCTACCTTCACCCCAAAGTATCCTGACAGAATCATGATTTCAGGTACACTCGCAGAATGTCAGACTGGCAAAGCAGAGTCAACAACCTTCAAGGTATTCATAAACTTGAAGAGTGAAAAGCTATTCCCATATTTGCAAGTGTGGGCATATACTAGTTAAGAACAACACAGTTTGTGATTTCAGTAGAGCCACATTTGTCGTACTGGAATTGCTTTTACTGATTATTCTGCAATCTGGAGCGACTTCACACTACTATATGGCATATGCCATAAGGCAAGGGCAGGGAGAAGGCCAGTCTTGTGGTAGATTTTTAACTGATTTTCAGTGAATCACCAATACTTTTAACAACAGCAAGAAAGATTTCAAGAAAAGAAAAATCTCTGCCATGGCTGGCCTTGTGCTAATTGCTTATCTCTCATGCTCCTAATCTATAAAACTAGAGTACTAATTGGCTGCTTTCAACCAGTCTTGGTTGAGGGCTGCCAGTGTTAAGAGTGCTGGGTTGGAATGAAAGATGGCTGGTAGCTTCCATGTAGATTTGTCCATGTATGGTTCATGGGGTATACTAGATACTTGACTAAACAACATGAGCCATCATTTTGTGCCTGGCTGTTGTTGGCAGCCCTTGGCATTTAAAAGCAACTTACTCCTAGAATCTGAAGCCTGCCTATTGCTCCCATAAGAAAGCCGTCCAGAGGCCCACTGGGTATTGGATGGGGTAAAAATACCCAAACAAACAAACAAACAAACAAACAAATCTGTGGTGAGAAAGCCCTATAAAAACAGGTGAGTACCCCAGTCCTGTACAGGAAAGAACGATGGTGGTACGTTTGGAGCCATGGTGATGGGAAAAGTGAACTGCTCAGCCAGCAGCCCAGCTCATCTGCTGAAGGCCCTTCCCATCAAGCTATACCAAAGACCACCACCAACCGGCCACACTGAAAATAGGGTGGGCAAGGGAATCACCAAGTGCCTCCGGAGTACAGGCTGTACTGTCAGGAAGTTTTATCATATTCAATAAAAGAACTTTAAAAGCAAGTGACATTTGTAGAAAAAAAGTTCAATCTCACTTGTGCCTTCAGTGTGTACATACTTGTAGTTTTTAGTGAGAATGACCCAAGCCTAGAAGAAGTGATATACTTTCATATTCATGCTGAAGGGAAACGTGATATCCCAATGCAGGTTATCAAGCATGTGCATTCCTTTCTGGACCACTCAAACATATGTGGAAGATTTTATAAAACTTCTAGCTGGCTAGGTGTGACCTACCTCGTCCTAAAGCTTTAGTCTACAAGCAAGCAAGCAAAGTATTTATGCATACAGCACAATTTTATGTTTGAAATTAGGGAGATGAGGTTGACACCTAAACCAATGCAGTTTATACTACTCAGAAAGCAATCAGATATAGATCATTATTTTTGAGTAGGAAAATGCTGTCTCCAACATCATCTGTTAAGCCTTTAAACTTTGTGACCTAACAAGTAATTAATTTTGTAACACATTATTTTAATGGTACACTAATTAACCTTCAATTAGAATGCGTTTTGGCAATGATTCTTTGTACAAACAGGAGACACCCACATTAGTGCTACGTAAATTATTAAATCTTACTGTACTCTAGTATCTGGTAAAAACAAAAGCAAATTAAAATCAAACTGATGAACAAATAATTTAATAGACTGACATTATTTATGTATCTCTAGGTGTTTCACAAAATACCGATTATACATTAATATCAACATAATATATTAAAATACAATTAAAATTCATACAATTGCTAAAGATTCATATAAACATTAATTAAAACATTAAAGCCAACACAGTGCCATAATAGCAGAAAACTGCATTTTTATCATCACACTTATACCCCGTTGTGTGTGTCAGAAGCAACTGGGACTGGAACCAGGAACCTCGGGTTCCCGCTCATCTGGCTTCCATGTAAATGGTTCCAGGCTCAGTCTGAGTTCTTGCCTGTGCCACAACTATATTCTGGCTTTGTGTCTTTTGCACCTCCGACCCTACAAAGGAGGATGGGCTACACAATACCCTTTTGTCTACATTCCTCAGAGGTAAACTGTCACCACCCACTTCTTTTAATGAAATATCAGTATTTCATAACGCATACCTTAAAGCTGCTATATCAGCTGTGGCCAAATCTGGACAAACAGGTCCTGGCAACAGTTATCCACACACGGGTAACCTCTCACCTGGAATACTGCAGTGTGTTTTACATGG